TTCTGCTTCCTTTCTGATTTTGTGATCTTAATTTATTTATGTGCAAGTTTGTCCAACTGCTTTCTTAAGTATCAGTTACATCTGAGATTTTAAATAAAAGATTTTAATTGAAAATATTTATATTTGAAAAGTTCATGTAGGCATAAAACAAAAGCTTGAGGCCTAATTAATTTCATTCTGAGGAAAACATGGTTTCAGACATAAATGGACTTAGTCTGTGTGCACAGCCAAAGCTCTTTTCCCTCATCTAGAAATTCCACAGTTATAAAAAGATCAGATGTTTTGTCTAGGCCTGCTTTTCCTTCAGGATTTTTGAGGAAAATAGTATCCTTTAGTTGTGTGAGATATGTCTCCACAGTGCAACACTGAAGAGCTTGATGTGGAAGAGAGTGATGTTTGTGATACACATCCCCAGTGCTCATTAGCACAATGAAAAATACAGGGTAATACCTGGAGAAATATTAATTGATAAAAACACATGGGGTTAAAGATTAAAATACTCCAGATCCACCTCTCATGTAAATCAGTGCCTGAACTCACTTACCCTGCTTGCCAGCCACTTTGTCATTCTTTGGTGGAACATTTTCAATATTCTTCTTGCAATAGGTAATCTAATTAAGATGTATAACATAGCAGCCAGGACCATATCATTGCTCTATGTAAATATATATCCTCATTTCCAGGGGTGCTGAGATCCCATCACGCTTCTAATAGGATCATTTCTATTTTAAATTATATTAGTCTTATACTATCTCCTATCTCATTGCTTAAGCACTGCAGTCCCTGACACAGCCGTGTGCATGTACTTTGCTGCTGGTTCCCTGGAGTATCAAAGTGAACTGAATGAGAGCATTACACTTTTAACTGGGTACACTTATCGGTATGAATTTTTAATTGGTGATATAAGAAAAACTGATTTAACTTAAATAAGGCTTTGGTTACCTGTGTGAAGATTCTTTGATGTAAAATAAAATCCCTGTTTCCAGAAATCCTTAAGTTTGTACTTTGCCTCTAATTAATATATGAATCAGATTTCATCAACGAGCTCTGTACAGCAGCCAGTAAATTAGCAAGGGCAAATCTGGTTCAGATGACTCATTTTTGGGAGTTTCATCCAAAGTCGTCATGAGAAAGTCAAAATCATCAGCTGCAATGTAGTTAAAGCTGAAGATTTAAACAATAAAAGTTGGGAACAAGCCTGGATGTAAGTAAAGAAAAGTATTCTTGGGAAAAGCAAATTTTTTCTGAAATGGCCAGATGAATGCAGAGAGCAAACAAAATGCAGGCTTATAGCTGAGTGCTTGCAGTGGAAGACAAGGTGCTGTTTTGCATGGATAGGGAGGGGAAGAACATGATGTGAATACAAGCAATTCTGTTCTGGATGGAAGATAATTAGAAACTCACCAGGATGAAGTACCTCATAAAACAGAAACTTTTAAAAAGTTAATTTTTATGTGATATTTCCAGTCCAGGGCCCAAGATGAGAATTTATTGTGAACTCATCCATCTGGCGTAGAAACGGAGCAAGTGTGTGACAGTTCTGCTGCTGAGCAGATTATATTTTGGCTGACTGACATCATGGTAATGAGAAATTTCTGAAGATCCAATGTGTACTTATATCAACTGGCAAAAAAAGAAACAACCAAAACCCTTGGCAATGGAATGGATCTGTTAGGCCTTTGGACTCACCCTTCAAATTCAATGTCAAGAAAAAAAATGAGCTTGATCTTTCACAGCTGTCTAGCAGCTGACTTTTTGGTTGAGGCAGAGCATAGTCAAGATAAGCTAGTAAAGCTTGATATGGTTAGTATTCTCCTGTGGGGAAGACCAGAAAGTTGTTGTGGGTTATAGAGATGGTTCATAATTCTGATTTTGCCCATTTAATCTCCCTAGCATATTAAAATTGAAATGGCTTATCAGCAGGTGCATTTCCTAATATTTCTATCTAAAATTGTATAGTCTGTTTTCATACCATTTATAATGAATACAGTCTATTATAAAAATCATGATGGATTATCCTCGCTGAATACAAAGTGAATTTCCCTGAGCTTATTCACATTGATTAGATCTGGTGTTAGCAAAAGACCTGAATCTCACATTGGAGAGTTTTCACTGTGGCCATTCTCTAATATTTAATTTCTATCTGCCCAGTCCCACGCAGGTTTAATTTCTGATTTAAGGTTTTTAGTTTCCATTTCCTCATTTGCACCAGCAATGATGGGCTAAACTGGTTTATTTTATCACTGGGACACCTCGTGTTAGCAGACACTGAGTTGTCACTGCCCAAGTGTGAACTCTGCCATGATTATTTCACTGCTACTCACAGCTGCTTTGAAAAGACGTTGGCCAAGAACTGAGTTGTAGAATAGTTGACATCTACCAGCTTTTAGGCAGCCCTTATAAATCTTCCTACCCCTATGGCACTAAGCAAGTGTGCAATGACAACAGGAGTCCCATACTGAATAACTTCTTTGTAGCCATGCTGCTTATCATGCCCCATCAAAATAAGCTCCCTTTCTGTGCTGAAATACAGGCAGCGAAATTATTGCATGAATTAGAAGAAATAAGTACAATTCGGTCCAGAAGTTAATGAGAAGTCTTTTTTTCATGTCTAATCCTTTCACTGTGTTTTCCTTAACATAGGTTAACCCGGTGCAAATGGTTAGCCGTAAGTCAGCAAGACTGGATTGTGAAAAATATTTCTAATTTGAATATCAGGAAAATATTTCAAAGATTCAGAGCCAGGCTCTTGCAAAAGCAGAAAGCAAGTGACCATTTCTAGCGCTGGCTTTATCGTTCACACTGGGGAAATTGGAAAACAAACTCATAACCAGATTCTGACCTCACTTCCAAGGATTTACCTGGATGGTGCCAGTACTGTGGAGTTGACCTATTATAGCTCTGCAGAGGTGTTAATACAGATTTACACACTTCTTCACCACAACTATCAATATTGAAATCTGCCCTATATTTAAGCAAATATGGATCCTCTCAGCAGCCAAAAGCTACCTGACACTGAAAAATAAGGATACACAAATATGACCTTATTCTTATTTGATGATGTAAAAATCCATTCTTATAGTCTCTTCCACTGTAATATTTATTTTCTACCTTTCTTTATTGCTAACAATTCTAAAATAATTGTACACAAAATTAACCATCAATAAAAAAATGAAATGGTGTCAAAGGGTAGTAATCATTGGTTTTAGCTAGCAACTCACTCATAGATAAACATTGGTATGAGACTGACAATTTGACACAGTAAACCTGTCCACATCAACACATCAATAATTTAATACATATATTTGTGACTATGAAAAGCAGTTTTTAATGACATAGCAAAAAGCCATTTGGTTGAAAGGAAGAGAGGAATCCAAACTCTCAGAAGAAGCAATTATATGAAAATTTGTATTGTAAATGCTTAATAAGCCATTTTTAGCTCACAGGGAATCCCATTGCACTACTCTGACTCATAAACACTCAGCAAACACAGGATATGATATAGAGCTTTATCTCACCAAGTGGCTTCCAGTATATGTCTGGAATTTTTTTTCCCTTCAGTCATTATATGTGTTTTTAATAGTGAGCAGCCCACATTTTAAAGGAAAAGAACACAAAAACTGTGTTTCACTGCAATGAAGTAGGAATTCCAAGCAATTTGACCCATCAATCAAAACATTTGCATTTTCAAAAAAAAAAAAAAAAAGAAAGAAAAAAAGAAAGAAAGACCCATATCTAGCTAAACAGTCTTTTCACCTGGGGCTCATTAGTGCTGCAATTATTTCTCTCTCCTGTTTCTAACTAATGCACTGCTGGGAGTCCAGGCCAGGTGCTCCTTTCAGGGTTGTCTGCTCCCAGCAACTCTATCTGCGAATACCATGTCTACTGACACCAGGCTAATGTAACCTTTGGCTCTGCCCCATTAAATTAGAACCCCCTCCAACTCCACATTAGCAAATGGAATAATTAACAAGTAGCAAGTTATCAATCCTTGGGTGCCTTAGTTACATTTTGAGGTGGTTTATGCTTTTTGTTTTCTTTTGTTTTGTTTTGTTTTGTGGGAACTGGTCAACACAACAGGTTATGGATTTCTAAATGGCATCTTAGAAAAATTAATAATTATTCCTTCCCCTCCCATACCCCCCATTAGTAGACTGGTTCTATCAAAAAAACCCCAAGAAACCAGCACTGACATGACTTGGAAATGAAAGGTCAACCAACTGCCATCCTTTAGCCCATGAGCAAGAGTCTGGAGTAGTACTATTTGACCAAAACTACAAATAAACCTATGGTGTTTAAAGTAACTAACTAGCTAACCAGGTAACAGAACTGTTATTGTAACCACTGTTGTACATCAGGGAATCTGATGCTACCCTGAATCTGAGAACTTTGCTTTATTAATTCGTTTATACATATAATTTAAAATATACTCTACAGAATTAATAAAAATAATTCTACCATTTTTTAGTTCATTACCCTTTGACTTAGAGGTAAACTTTCTGTCAATTTCTGAATGTCAGTCAAATAAGAAATGAAAGGTATTGATTCTTCCTGCTTCTGCTTTCACTCACAGTAGAAATACTCTGAGGAACCACTGAAATTAGGAGATGCTTATTTCAGAAAAGTCTCACAGATCAATTACAGATTGGGAGCTCCGGTAGACATTATTTCTTGAAGTTTCCACCAATGTATTGTGTCATAAAGTGATGCTGTTGTTAAAGCTGTGGTCTACATCCACATTATAGCTACAAGTTTAATTCCAGATGCTCCTTTGTGTTTCACTTGTCACCAGTGCTCCAGACTGCTTAGAGCTTTGAGAAAAAGAGCTTGTGGTTAATTGAAATTTGTCACTGGAAGCTGTACAAATAGATACACACATAGATGGATAGTCTACTAATGCATGAGCCGTATCATCTACTTTAAGACCTAAAATGGGCAGGAAACTAGGTGAGGAGAGAGAACCCTGGCAAACACTAACACAGGCTGATCTAATATCTTACCTTCTCATTGGCTCTGCTGCTTTCCATGTTCAACACGTTTAAAATCTCTACATACAGATTCCATGGAACAGTAGGATTCTTTGAACAAAATTCAGTGGGAAAAATGTTATTAGGAAAAGATTCACTTTTACCTATTATTTTCTGAACTAAAGTATATTGTAGTCAATAACTTACATTTATAGTCTTGTAGTCACTTGGGATTAGATGAAAAGTTCACAACAGAGCTTCCTTATTTAACAATTAAGAATCAGTATCATGGTTAAAACACAATCACCTTTCAGTTTGCACCCCTTTAGAAATGAGCTAACTTTGCTTCACTGTCTTTTTATTCCCTTATATTATTTTTAAATACATCAATTGAAAGTCCAATGAATGCTGATGAAATGTTTTGTAAGAGCAGTGGTAAAAGTTTTAACTAGAAGAAAATAAAATAGTGTTAAATTTGAGATTATGAATCAGTTTTCAGAAAGAAATAGACACACTTTCACTGTTGTAGGCAAACATCAAACTTAGATCTGCTATTGTCAGTAGAAAGTTCAGAGTTTTGTCTTGGTAACCATGCTTGGCAGCCTTCTACACTGCTATGTCTTCTGTATTGGATCTACCTGATAAGAGAGATTGCAGAGATACACTAGTTATCATAATTGTTGGAATATGAAATCCAAAAGATTGTCATGGATCCCTAGAAAAGGAAGAAAAATTGCTTAAAGCATCTCTAGTTTTATGTTGGATTTTGGATGCCAGTAGAAGATTTATATAAATATAAATAATATATATAGATATATTGACGTGATCCAACCCCAACCAACAATCTGGTAGAGGCAATACAAGGAATACCGATAATAATTTATAAATGAAAAGTGATCACAGAATATTAGGTTGAATAGTAAAAATGACCATGAGATGTCTGTCTGAGGATAGATTTAAATCCAGCTTTGTACATAATTTGGGGCAGAAAATTTCATGATATATATCAAAATCACCTGAGTGCCAAAATGCTTTCAGCTTGGGGCAGTTGAGATTCTAACTGGATTCCAGCTTTGCAGCTAGAGCTCCCCATTTGACTTCAGTTTTGATTTCCTTAGCTTTTGTAGATCTAAATTAAATCACATACTTCCCGTTCTTTCATGAAAGCAAATGTATTAATGTGTTTCTTTACCTGTTAATCTGACTAAGGATAAGTAAATGCACAAGAAACACTTCTGACAGGGTTGTTCTAGATTTGATTGTTAATTTCATTATGGTCTTGCTCATTTTGACTTCACTTTGCTTGTCAGGCCTCAGTCATAACATACACCACTTGTTATGCAAAGATCCTGCAAGTGATTTATGGAACTCAGCATGTATTTTATTTAAGGGCCAAATAGCAGCAGGGACAGATTTCATGCCTGTATGTGACCCCCTTTTCACTCTCCTACTTGCTGCCTCACAATAAATGACACATGTGCAACTCCAAACATTTCTGTGCTTTTACAAAGTATTTGTAGCATTTATGTGCAGGCAAATGAGACCCCTGGATACATTTTAGAATCAACATTTTTAAATTGTCAAAATTTCATCTCAGGTGACTATCATAAAAACTGCAACAAAATTTATATTGAAAATTGTCTTAACAAAATGTGCATGAATGAGCAAACTAAAAAGCTGCTAAGAAAAATCGATGGTGTTTGATGCATTAAAAATCACAACTACAAACTGTCAGCATTTTTAACCAGACATTTTCCTGTGCAGCAGAGCTGAAAACGGACATTAACATTCAGAAACATACCAAAAGCTAGTAGACTTGAACTCCTGCCACACTGAGGTAATTAAAATTTAATATGTAAGAAAAGTACTGAGAAGGACTGAAATTACATGGCTGTGCGTGGCCAGAGACTTTATCCTGTGCTGAGCAGAACTAGCACCAGTCTCTTTCAATCAGTGGAACTAATTGACTAAGTAAAGTGATCCCCAAGATGGATAGCGGTACCTGCAGACAACAAAAAATCAGGGAGATTAGAGGTCCCTGGAATCTGTGGAAAGATGCTGACGAGCTGTTACATCTTTTTCAGTTGGTTAGAACATGGTGCTAATAACGGCAAGGTCATGGGTTCAATTCCTGTACAGGCCATTCACTCAAAAGCTGGACTCAATGATCCTTGTGGATCCCTTCTGACTCAGAATATTCTGTGATCCTGTGTGATTCTGTGATCTTTCCAGAGTAGTTCTGAAGGACAGGTGAGCTTGGTTGCCTCTTGATATGGAGAGGCAACATGCAGCAGCCTCCCTGCTGGCGGTACTGTTGAAACTGGTCATAACTGCTCCTGAATAAGGAATACACCTAGTAAGGCAGGAAAGGCCCCTTTGCTGCCTATATGGTGCTGCACTGGAATAGGAGGCTGGGATATATCTATTGAGTCTGCCCAACTTGGAGTCTGTCCCAGCTGCTCCTGCTCTCGCATCATGAAGACAGCACCAAGTAGAGAAGAGAGTGTGCAGTACTCCCTGTAAAGGCCAGACACTGTCCACTGTACAGACAGAAAAGATTTGTAGTGGTAGCTGGTTGCAAGCATGCTCATGCAACCCTTAGTGATGGCTGTGGATGACCCAGTATGGTCCCAAAAGATTCCTCAACATCAGCAGGAGCAAGACAAAATTAGGCTAGTGAATTAGTCACACCAGGCATGAGAAACGCCAATCTTTATCCAGTTACACTACTAGAAAATAGAAATAAGTCTATACAGCAGTCTGAGTAAACGAAGAAGCTGTCCCAAGATAACAGAAGGAGAAGATAATGTGAAAAATGGAGTAACCCTGAAATGTGTCAACCACCCCCATGCTTACACTGTAGTAACTGAAACAATAGCTGGCATTTACCATAAAGCATCACTCAGGGGCAGAGGAAGTGACATTGTGTTCTTGTCAGCAGTTCATCGCTGAGTTGCATGTGTTCTCGTGTAGCTCTGCAAAACCTGTACCTGTTTTAGTCACTCACCAAGCACAGGCGTGGCTTGTAGCAGGGAAAGAATGCTGTAAGAAAGGGAATACTAACCAGAATAGAAATTAAGCTGGGCTTGACAGCTGCAAGGAAAGTGCAGCACCGGCAAGATTAATAAGGTGCTTTCTGGAAGAAGACTTTTTGAGTATTTTCCAGGAATTCATGACACCCAAAGGAGTGAACAAATAATATGAGAGAAAGTAAAAGAGCAACATTCTTAATTCTTTAGTGCTCTCAATATGTTGTGTATTCTCTCTGGTCTTTGATGGTAGAAACTGGAGGGCAGCCCACTTGAAGAGTGCTATTGGGAATTCATATAAAAGAGAAATCCCTCACATACTATAGATAAAAACTAAAATATGTGTTATAGGATATGAATTGTTGTGCAAATCATTCTGTTCATCTTTGCTAAATTCATCCTGCAGCTATAAACTGAATTACATCCTGTAAGGGGGGAAAGCAGAAGAGTAGGGTAATGGTTTTCTGCTGGAATAAATCTGTGCAGCAATTTCTGTGAAGTGGGACAAAGACTGTAGGACAACGAAGATTTCTCTCTTTAAAAGCACATGTGCAGGCAGGGAAAATCTTATTTAAATGAAGTTTTGGATGTAAATTCAGTGTGGGTAAACTAGCTTTCAGAAATCTTATTTGCTTGTGTAGGATTGTAGAACTATTTAGACTGGAAAAAACCCTTTAAGTTCATTGAATCTATTAACATATAAGAAATATTTTGAGTTATTAATAAAATTACTGTTTTCCCATAAACTGCTTATCTTGGACATCTCTGTTTTCCTCTTCATTCTCAGAAGTATGTCTAGAAATAAGCTGTAGGACTTGAAGTGCTGATTCATTGATGCTATTGGGTCATAATTTTCACAGGATGGATACAAGGTTCCTAAAACCATTGCTCATGGTGGTAAATAGGACCCCACTTGAAGTAAATTGCTGTTCAGCATGGGTAAGCAAGTACAGTGTGGTTGGGGCCAGCAAGAGCATGGCATGGTGGTAGAAAGTAAAGCTGGAAAGACTGCTATCCCTCTCCAAGTGGCAGGGAGAGTCTGAGACTCACACAGTTGCAGAGTAGCTGACAGGTAGCATCACAAATGTATATCCCACAAGGTCAGTTTCTTACTGCTACAAGGGCAGATGTTTCTGGGGGCTCATTCCTTCCAGTCATTATCTCCCTGGCTGGCATGCAAATGCAGAAGCACCCTGTCTGGATGGCAATATTTCCAGTAATGCTGGTAGAGGACACTAGCTCATTAGACCTAAGGATTCACAGATACTTTGTTTTCAAGCTGTCTCCACATTGTAATGCTGAGAAGCAGTCTGCAGATTTTGTATAAATTCCAATTTATCTCTGTCAACAATCACGTATATTCATATTTAACACAGAGTTCCTGCTATTGATGTATTAGGCAAAGGAAGACATGGGAAAGCAGTCTTACCTCAGAAGGCAGAAGTCAATATTTCTCAATGCAATCATTATTTGTCTTTACATACCAAATCCATCAAGTTTGCAAAACTGCTGTTATATTTTATAGAGTCTCAGAATATAAATCTCTTAAAAATACGAGTTTTCAAAAGATCTGGAGAGAGCTTGGACCAAAGGTCTCAGCTCAGTTAGTTTCTATGATTTTTTTTTCGTCTAAATGGTTTAGTTATTTTTGAGCTTCACAAACAAATTTTAAGATCTGTTTAAATTGGACTGAGCATGAAGAACTGATCTTGAGAAGTTATAGCTGCATCACTTAAAAAATTTACATTGGTGTGGGAAATAGACCTGGACAATCAAACCAAAATTCCTCCATGACACAGGAAGTTTAGAAGTTTACTTGCTTTCTATCAGGATCTGGTAAAAATTTAATTTGCATTATAATTAGGGTTACTGTAATATTTCACAGAATCTAAAATACTAAAATAACATAAACATGAGACAAAAACAAATTGCTGAAGAGATATTTTTAAATTATTTGTCAGTCCTTTGATCTTTTAGATTTGTAAGCTAACATAAATAAGCACTGCTCCTCTCTTCGCTTTTTTTTATGCGCATAGATTTATCTTTCAGTGAAGCAAGGTAAATGTTTCTCATTTTAGCTCAGTAGTGATTTTTCCTTTAAAAAGATTCAATTTGTTCTTACCAATTATTAGCAACATCTTGAAAAGGGGTTCTGCTAATTAATCAAAGACTTCTTGTGAGCTCAGACAAGCCAGCCCCAACTGACCTTGAAAGTATATGAAGGCACAGAAGTAAAGACAAGAATTTCTTGGCCAAAGAAAACATCTTTATTCTTTTAATAGGCATGGAGGAAAAGACTGCTTAGTGCAAAGAACTCCATGCAGCTGAGCTCTTTTACAGTTTTAGATGGAGCAAATGAGGCCATGAAAAACAATAATTTTCAAAAGTATACAGTCTTTCACTGAAGTCGGTGGTAAAATTTCCTTTTCTTTCTAAAAACAGATCTACCAGAGCTAGGCAGCTCTGGAAGTCCCATCTTAATTGTGCTGTTGCCACTACAAGTGTTTTTCATGCCAGGAAGAGACTCTCTGCAGCTTAGTATTGACATCCTGCATGTCATTATAATGGGAAGAACATCATATTACTCCACTCACCTCATATTATTTCTT